CGAACACTGACTATCATCAGATAATAACGAGACTTAACGAGAAATTTCTGCGTGAAGGGGAAAGATGTTGTTTCTGAGGCGTCGCTCGCGTGTCAGGGGTGCCTAGTATAAAAACCAAAATCGACACGAAAAGAATGCAAGTGTGAAGACCAACATAATCAACTAAAAGTAAATTATTTTGAAATTTGCTAAGAAATGGAAAACGGTTGATACTCTACGGCAGTGGTCACCAAAGTGTGGGTCGCGACCCCAGGTATGGTCGTCTTAAATATTTATGGGGTCGCAAAGTGTCCGGCGATGTTTTTCTGTTATTATTTTATTGTGTGTGTGATGTCTTGGATATTACCAAATTGCCAGTAGACCCAAATATTACAGTTTATTATAAGTAAAACGTCAGTATAACACAGTTACGTTATACATTTCACACGAATAATAAGCATGCAGACAAGGAGCAATTACGAGAAAGTAATTATGACATGTTGATCACAAATGGGTTTGTGTGAAAAAGAATGAGCAGATACACAACAGTGTGCAGTCTACACTACTACTCTTCACTAGGTCGACTAGCGATATTCTGAATTAGAGTGATATCTCTGTAATAAGGCTATTGTGTAACGACAATAATATAAGTTTTAAAGTAAAAAGTTGTTGTGTTTTCTCTGTAATGGACTATGACCATTGCTTTTGCTTAGTGTTTGTTAAGTTTCACAAAGGGCTGATAAACATAAAAAGAATAGGTCACGTGATCAATCTTTTTTTAAAGCATGGTTGAACCGAAATGCGCTGTTTGTCAAAAAGTTCTATCGATAAGAAGCCTAAGCTACATTATGCCACAATCTCAAAAGCTCTGCAAAGAAAAGCAATCAGTTAAATGTGTGATCAGTTTTTATTGGTCTTATTTTTTTCATTTCAATAAATATACTTTGGGGGCGCCAATGCTCATCATACGTCATAATTTTTTGAAATGGGGTCGCGTCTTGAAAAGTTTGAAGACCACTGCTCTACGGTATTAGTGAAAATAACACTTTTGAACAAAACCTTGGGTGAACCTATCCTGCTTTTATTCAGTTCGGAAGTATATCAATGTATCTATAACACGACGATCAAATTTTAAATTATGGGCTTTTCGGGAGTCTGTGTAACATATTATGCAGTGTTGTGTTACACAAACTGCAGAATATTGCTTTGTTTGTATTTTCATAGGAACAATAGATTGATCATGTGAGAAATCATAGACGTGTCTGAGGTCGATGTTTTGCTCGACGTATCACATTTCTAATCAGTGGCAAGTCTTACTTAGGCCTTAGTAGAAGCTATTTGATATAAATATATTTTTATTAAATATATATATTCAACATCAGACGCAATAGACTGTTCGAGCCGTGGCGATCGATGTGTTGGCCACCGCTGTACTGCATGATGCTTAGTGCTATGATTTACGGTGTCTGTGTTATATCCATATTACACTGAAGCCACACCTGAACAGTGATGTGATATTACCAATAGGAAAAGAAATATGTATCGCATTTTTTCCCTGATCATGGGTAACACTATTTTGAAAAGATATTGTCGAAGAGCGGAATGGAAACCTTTACTCAGAAGATTTGCATATCTTTTGCATTGAAGTACAAATTTGTTTTCAATCACAGTATCGTTTCTTACACTTTGGCTCACGTGCCTATTTATTCACTTTGTTACATTATGGTTCCATTACATTTACACCCACGACAATTGCACCTGCATACTATGGAATTTTTTACGGATATTTGAACCCATACTAACCCTAACCCATGGATTTTAGCACCCGCATATAGATTGAACCCGCGGATATACGGGTGCAAATGTATGGGTTCAAATGTACGTGGGTTCAAATGTACGGTCGTCTTACATTATGTATATATCCGTGGAAATTTTTTTCATATGACTACAGTTTCGGACTATCACCAGATATTTTTTGAAAGTTTAGGTTTTCTATACGCCGAGTGCCATCATTTATACCAATATTTTATTTAGCAAAGCGTATCACTTCTTCATTCTACATATCACTTCTATGAATCATTCTGAAACATGTATCATTTGTTAAAAATAGTTTTCAAACGGATTCGACAAAACGTGAATAGAGACGTGGAATTACAATAAAGTCAAAAGAACATTGGAACCGCCTTCGAAACTCACACAGTATTCGAAACATAAAAGAACGTTAGTTTCGATGAGAAAATGTAAGGAAAAACTAGAAAAATAATAAAATGTGCAGTAACGCAAATGAATAGTGAATGGTGCATATTTGATTTATTCAAATAAATGCCTGACTGGCCAAAAATCATTATTGTTAAAACTGAATAGACAGAAGAACATGCAAATCATGCAACATCATTTGCATTGAGAAATCTGGCGAATCATATTTTGCAATCCCAGCATTTTCTCCCATTGTGCAAACAACCAAAACGGATGAGGGTAAAAGTATCTTGGAATTGATAAAAAATATTCTGGTAATTTCTTTTCAAGGTGGTTTGCATTTATTTTTTGTTCTGATCCGTATTGATAAGCAACAGTCAAATAGTAAACGCGCGTTGGGATTTTTTTTTTTACAAAGTCCAAGTCATGCACAAAATGGGGATTTGGGAAAACACATTTTTCGTTTTAATTAACAATGTAGTAAATAAATATACAGTTGGGATCAGTGTGAATGATTTAAAAAATTGAATTTTGAGCGCAATCTGCATACCTAACTCAAACCCTAACCGGATAATAATTATTTTTATTTTTTTTTATTTTTTTTGAGAGTTGTTGTTTTTTGACGAGGGCTTTGTACAAAAAATCTTTCGAGTTGTGTTTAAACAGATTACTTACAATTGAATAATGTGATTTATGTGGATTGAGAGTCAGAATGAAACACTTAATCAAGTGAGAAACATACATCAATAAATTGAATTTCTCATTAACTTTTCGACGTTTGTCGAAATATTTGTTTATTCGTAAGAAAGATTTTCTGTACAATCGATGCGTTTCCAGAACATTACATTCTTGTAAAAGTCTGTTGAAACTAAATTCTCACCAAAGCCATTCTAGTGAATTTCTTCCCATATATTACTCACAAGGAAATAAAGTTTTGTCGCAATTTTTCTCTGATCAACGCCATTTCATGTAGTTACTGTAAAAGAATAGAATCGAAACTTTTACTCAGAAAATTTCCATATCTTTGCATTGAAGTATAAATTTGTTTTCAATCATATTATCGTAGCTTGAGTATTGTTTCTCACACTTTGGCTCACGCGCCTATTTATCCTCTTTGTCACTTTATATATCTATGAAAATTTTTCATATGACTGCAGTCTACCAAAAATTAAAAAAACAAATGTGTAATAACGCAAATGAATAGTGAATGGTGCTTATTTGACTTATTCAAATGAATGACTTACTTACTAAAAATCATTATTGTTAAAGTTGAATAGACAGAAGAACATGCAGATATTGCAACATCATTTGCATTAAAAAATCTGGCAAATCATATTTTTTAATCTCAACATTTTCTTCGATTGTGCAAACAACCAAAGTAGATAAGGCTAAAAGTAGCTTAAAATTCATGGGAAATGATCTGGCAATTTTTTTTTTCAATGTTGTTTGCATTTATTTTTCGTCTTAATTCCTAATGATAGATTTACATTTTTATGGAATTGGTAAAACAAAACAACAGTCAAACATGTCGTAAACGCGAATTGGGTCTTTTTTGTACAACTGTGCCGCCATTAATGCGAAAATGTGAGACTTGGGAAAAAAAATCACCACGTTTTTAATGACAAATTAGTAATAAATATACAGTTGGGGCGAGAGCTGGAATTGATTTAAAATTTGAATTCCGAGCGCAACATGCATTTCTAATTCAAACCCTAACTGGATAACTACTAGTTTTCATGTGATGAGCGTTGGTGGTGTTTCCGCCATGTTGTATTAGAACAGATTGCTTGCAATTGATCAGTGGTATTATATTACGTGGGTTGAAAGCGAGCTGCCTCCCTACAGACTATTACAGACAGACTATATATATACGAATCTTCCCTAATGATTATCTTGTTTGTATTTCGTATTTGTATTGCGTGATTTTGCAAATGTTTCCCGAATCAGACAGATGTGAAGAGTCAAAATATAAAACCCAATTGAGTAAAAAACAGTCATCAGTACCTTGAATTTCACATTAACTTTACGACGTTTGTAAAAACATTCCTCTTTTTCATTCGTAAGGAAAATTGTTGTACAATTGAATTTGTTAACTTCATTCATGACGAAGATTTAAAAGAAACATCAATTTCTATTAACGATCGGAAAGTATTCCAGCATTGTAGGAAAATAGGCTCCCATTGCTCATATCCTTTTTTTTTATCAAAGTCAATACAACGAATTGAATTTAATTTTCTTAAATAATTTGAAGAGTTGACGACGACAGGAAAGTGTTTTTGTCAGCGAAGGGTATATATAATAGGAGATAATGTTGAAAAACAACGCATAACTGCTTGACGGCTCCAGAGAAACGGAGAACTAAGTTTGTGTGCTTTCCAAATGCCTCTGCAGGTAACCAGTGAAAATAGAGAATGGCAACCTAAGAATTTAAAAAAATCACAAATTTGAATTTTGTTTAATTTTCAGTAAATTCTGCAACATTTTAGCATATTTATAAATTGAATATGAAATTATTCAAACATTCAATTCAGAGATAAAATTTAATTTAAGGATTTGGGTACAAAAACTATTTAGAAATGTGTACGGAAATTCTGGTTTATTTATCATAATAGGCGTATTATGAGAAATGTCCCTGCACACCTATATTTATAACCATAAAAATATACCTCATCCAATAATGAAACGTTCGCAATTCTTCATAAAATATATCGAATAATCATTAATCGCTGAGTAGGCGAATATTTTACAGTCAGTGATTGTTAGTAACTCTGCTTTTGGCCAAAAGTACACTCAAAAAACATTCAAAGTATATGTTTTCCATGCAGTTTTAATCTTAAACATGTTGAGCTTCGTTACCAAGGGTGTTTTAATCTTGTTAGTCATTGGAATTTCGCAAACAAAGGGCGAGTGCTGCGGTCGTGGCAGAAATGGTATGCATATTTTTATATTTGAATATTTAAATTTAATTTAATCAAACTTAATTAATTTTATTTAAAACTTAAAATGCGTAATGTTCCATTTCATACCTCACTGGTTCTCAACCTTTGAAGAACTAATTTAATTACGGTTATTATGGTTATGGGTTTATTCCATTTCCACCACAAATTTTTATCAAAATGATTGTAAATTACAGTTGTACTCGCATAAAAGATTCATGTTCAGTAAACCATATTTATTTTCATGATTCTATGCTTTTTACCGTATGACTTTTTCCTTTTCTCAGGATTTTGTAAAAATTGTGCGAGGGTGGGCTTTTGGAGATCACAAAAATGTTGTGGCCTAACAAGTGGAAACGAAAAGGGGGGATGCAATATATTTTGTTGCAATTGTATCTGTGCCCATGGACATCCTATTATCTCCTGTGAGTCTGCTTACATTTTTATTAGTTGGGAATCAAGTATTTTTCTGATTCGTGCGATGAGAATAAATAGAAAATTTCCTAAGTGTTATTTAGTTTTGGTAACTAGTTGTTCAATCTGATTCTCATTTTCACTGATTCATTTCTTCTTGAAAATGTGCAAAGACATTCTTGTCTGGCAATTCATGTGATGTTATTGTGTTTCAACGAACCTTCATTTCAAAATTAATAATACTCATCGAAAAGAAAATTTTCACCTATATTCATTGATGATATTACAAATTATTGAAACGATTTTTAAAATTTACTTAGGGAGGAGATACTTGAAAGCGGGTGAATCAAGTCACTACACTTGCAAGCAAGACGTTCACACCGTTCCTCACGGTGATGCTGAACGATACATCGACCTCGATTCCAAGAAAAACGCTTGGGACGTTTTCAACAGCCTCGATCAAGACCAGGATCTCAAAATCAACCGGAATGAGTTTTTCGACGCTATGAAAGCTCGCTTGTCAGTGAGTAGAAATAAAGAAATATACTTTACAATACTACTACATTAGCAAAAAGAGAAGTAAATATACATCATATACTTAGGTTATATTTTGTCACATTCTGGTGAATTGAATGGAGAATAAGATGATTCGAAAACAATATGCAATTCTATGCGTTTGTTTGAATATTATCTGGCGCAATGCGTGATTTAATATAAAATTCAAGAATGTATTTTTTGGGTCGGGTTTAAGTTAAATATGAATAACGATATGGCCGGGTAAACGGCAACATGTAAAATCGTTATGGGCAGTACTTTCAGAATAAGGATTTTCATGTGTTCAATATGTTTCTACTGACAGGATGACCACGATGATGCTGACTTGTTCGCATCTCATCTGCTGGATACCGATTTCCTCGACACAATTGCCGCATACTTGGATGCTGATGATGATATGATTCACGATACCGTGAAGGACCGTGCCATGGCTTCAATTTTCCAGGAGTTTAACAAAATGGATGTGGATGAAGACGGGTATATCCAGGCCGGCGAATTCGACAAAGATTTAAAATAAACTGAAAGTTATATCCTATTGCCAGAAATTTGATTTTAAATTGAACTATAATATTATGAACAGAAAATTTCATTTCCGTAACATATGATAGGTTGCTTTTTGTACATATACCAAATAAAAGTCACAGACTGATTGTCAACTATTTGACCTATAAAATCTATTCCGGCCCCAATACTTAAAATAGAAAGTACACTGAAAGCCATCTCACGTGTAATTGATAGCATTTTATTTGTGAAATTTGACAAACGTTATTCCATTTTCCTTGAACTTTAGCATGTGTGATAATAGCAAGGTATTATATTTTATTATTATTTTATGTAAGCCTACTTATTATTTTTAGCTTGTCGGTGTGATTCAGAACCATTTTGCGTCACAGACATTTAGGTTTGGGAAATGACTAAGATTTTTTGGCAGTATGGCAGTAACCACTGTCATGAATAGTGATATTTTTGACTTTTATTATAATATACTCATACTTGCATTCAAACTTTGTTTTATGATTGTAATGATAGAAAGGTTTCAGTGGTATCAGCATCGATTCATGTGTACAGTGAAAATATCGTTTCGTTCTTCTTCCGGTAAATACTGCATTCATCAGCAAAGGGGCAATTTGAATGCGTGAAATATTTTGGTGCAATTTTAATTGATAAAAGATTAAAGCGGATAAAAATTTTATGTTGTACAAATATGCTCTGTAAAATATTTCTATGGAAAAAATTTGTTGGGAAAAATTTCATTCCAGTACTGACGAAATTTCCTTCGTATTAGCCACATATTGACGAATGTAAAGTGCAAATTGTGCCCTACTTTTAAATCATTCGAACCAATGATTTACCAATTTTTGATTAATTAGCCCTGCCAAAGTCTAACGGTCTTACGCGAAGAAGTAGAAGCGACCGCCTAAACTCCAACAATACCAGGAATTGACGGTATAGCTCAAGCGTCGCACGTGTTGATCAGTGCTTAAACAAAAATCAGATTAAGGCTTGTTTCACCAAAACTTTGCCATTCTTGGATGCTTTTTCGTTGGATTTTTGAAATGAAAAGCTCCTACTACGTTCCGATGTCCGCCATCTTCAGGAAACTATGTACTAAGCAGGGAAGTTATAGTCATATTTCAATAATAGCTCATTGCAACACTCAAAGGGCCACAGTGCCGACTGCAAGCCACAGTGAAAACTGAGGCTGCATATATGGTAAAACTGGAGTAATAATATAGCATTCACGTTAAAATGAGGCAACTCGGATTTTCTTTTTTCAAAAAATTTAGCTTAGAATATAATGGCTTAAGCGCCAATAAATTCAATTCTCTTTCGTATTTTAAGATTGAAATGTTACCTCTTACCTATCATATATACATATTTCGAGCTCTCCATCCCTTCTACACGTTTTAAAAATAACACATATTTTATTGCTTATGCGAGTTAATATTTTTACTTCATAATTAAAATGGAAATAAAATAAAATTAATATTGAAGCATAAAATAAATATTGAAATCTTCTTTTGAGTAAATTATGTAAATTTTAGCATCCAATATCTACGATAGTTTTTAGTTAATCATGGCACAAGTAGGAAAAAGGATAAAATAATGATGTCTTGGAAACAGAATTTCGAAATGTATTTCTTCAGAATATTGACGCTGTCTCTTAAAAAGTAACAACAGTATTATACTATTATACAACAGTATTATACAGTCCCATTGTTCTGAGTTTAGAAAAACATTTATTGCCGGAATGTTTAAAATAAACAAGTGAAGTGGAATTCAAGACTTTTCCAAATTTTTGCTTCCCCATCGGGAAGAATTTCCCCTTCATGGAGAATATGTAAATAGCTTATGTGATTAACGCAGTATTTCATCACAACGATTCGTAACATTTAGACAGAAGAAGTTGTTCTATAGTTTTAACATGAGAGTGAAATAAAACAAAATAAAACTGTGTTAACGTTTTAAATATTTTTTCAAAAATTCTCTCAACTGCAAATTCGATTCGCAGAAAGTTGTTAACATTGTTAAAATGATTCTTAGGAGAATTCACATAAAATATTCAAATTATTTAAAATTTTGTCTAGATTCACTTGGTTTTGAGTTTTATACCCGGAACAAAAAATATTTAAAAAAAATAGCAAAGTTATAGACCATTGCAATTCCCCACGGATTGTATCTATAGCGCGTACACCTTTCACAGGACCATCGTTTGCGAGAATACTTTTCACGAGATTGTAGTTTAGCAAGATAAAACATTTGCTCAAATATTGTTTTATACAAACGTGTTTTTGCAGGTAGAAACAGAAATTATTGAATATTTCATCACCGGAAAATTGGTGGTTCCCCCCTCCGTTATGCTCCAGTGATTCCGGAAGGGGGCGCGTCTCAGAATGAGGGTATTAGAAATAAAGTATATAGAAATGATCAGAAAAATTAGTTAAATGCCTTTTTAAAAGGTATTTTTCCTGCTCCCCCAGTCACGGTCCAGTGATTTTGACTTATTAAAGACCTCTGAGATGTCTAATTAGGAATCTAAAAACATAGGCGTGGCTGTAAAAATTAGTTGAATCATTTTAAAAAAAAATTCTTCCACTCCCCGGTTACGCTCTAGTGATTTTATTTTATATCTCGAGAATCGTGGTAGATAGAGATGCTATATTTGGGTTTTACATGGTAATGGAGGTCAAGTTTATGACGAACAATTGTCGTCACGGTCGAGTGATTGTCACGGTCGAGTGATCACAGACCTCAAAAACTTATAAAACAGGACTTACTTACGATGTACAGGTTTATGATGTGTTATTCAAACTACACAACGGTCTAACTTAAATAACCGAATTGCGTAAGTCATTTTCGGCGATTTTGAGTTTTTTTTTTATAAAATAGGTATTTATGTAATGCTGCGCACCTGTCTGTTAACTCAGATTTTATTTTAATAATTCCGAAACACATAAAAATGAAGATTTAGTATGACATGCACATTTGTGCAATTGTTTCATCATAATTAATTATCATTGTTATCGCAGGACTATTGTGACGTCACAAAGTCAAAATAACCTCGGCGAATTATTTTCGAGTTTTTGCATCTCGGATTCTAGCTTAGCGCGTATTAATTTGAATTTATACTACAGTATAGGAAGGCGTGCACTTGTGATATTCACTGTCCGAGTCCAATTCACCTTGGTTGGCTTTTATATTGTGTGCATTGCTGTTTTATTCTTTATAATTAATCTTAGTCTTCTTTCGGTGGGTGTGCACAACGTGTTATATTGATGAAATATATATTTTTAAACATAAAAAATAATGTAATTGAAACTGATTAGGTATTTTAGGGATTAGACATTGTAGATACTGAGAATTACATTCGTTTTTGGAATGTCTAGTTTTTAGGACTGGTGCATAAGAGTAAAATTGCAAAATTGCGTATGTCCCCAAGTCATAGACACATTTCCGCCTAAGTCACAGTGCGCCATTATGACGTCACTTAACTGCGTCGTACAAATAAACTTAAGTCCGGCTACGATCAAAAAATAGAACCATGGCAAATTATTGACTCTCAATGGCATAACAATATCATTAGGAAGTTTTTTACGTTTTTCTCAAAACTGCTAAAAATGACTTACGCGATTCGGTTATTAGCGTGACGATATGATAGTTAAAAGTATCGACTTTCATTAGGATGATTTCCTGTGACCGATACCCATATTTAAAATTCCGTACCGTATATTAATTTAATGTTGTTCAACGTAATTCATGGTTGCGTCGACTTACAATAAAATAAAAGCCTTACTACTCTAAACTACCACCATTGTGTAAATGACATGGATGGCTGTTTAGGCGCGGCGGTGTGGCTCAACGGGCTAAGCGTTAGGAATACGCTCGCCACCGCACCTCTAATTACTCTGCGTGGGTTCGCAGGTTCGAATCCCATGCAGGGATGGTTATGTGCGAGAGGATTGCTGGACTCCTCGCCGTCGTTGGGTGGTTCACGTAACCGCTGGTCGGTTACGGCTTCCTCCACCACCAAGTCCATGCTTCCGAAAACAAACAATACAGTAAAACTAATCCCATACCCGACTTGGAATGGTAACCGGACGAGAGGCCGTGGTTCGCCATATGGATAAGCCGTCTTATCTGCTTTCCTCTCCCCCGGGATAAATATGTAAATCCTATCCTATCCCTATACATGACAGCAGGCGCATCCGATAGTCACGCCCGAGTGCCTAAGTTGATGGAATCTTCATGCGAAAAGAATTGCTATCTTAGTTACAGATCAAAATAATTTCAATTCTAACACAAAATATACAAAAATACGAATAATTTGGTCCACCAGGAGATGCTTGGTGACACACCAGTGAACCGTAAACCACCAGTTTAGAAGCGCCAATTTATGATGTGTATGTTATATCCATAATAAACTCAAGCACACGTAACAGTTGTGTGTTTACCCACAAACAAACAGTATGTTGCAACAAATGTTCCACAATAAGTTCATTATAATATATATAAACAATAATCTGTTCCCGCAAAGCTGCAGTTTCAAAAAATATGTAATTTTTCTCTTATCGGGATTTATTTTTGGTACCTCCAAATACTTTTAGTGCATTCAAGATATGTATCGCAATCACAGAAACACCATTAGCGCAAAATTACACACAACATGACATATTGCGTTGTCAGAACGTTACAAATTCGTATAAGTTTGTTTTACAAGTTTGTTCTAATAAATTTTATTCCTATATTAATACATAATATAATATACTACATATTAATTCTATGAATCATTCTAAAACATGTATCACTTGTTACAAATAGTTTCCAATAGAGTTCTACAAAATGTGAATCAATAGATGGAATGATACATAAAGTCAATAGCAAAATGAATCTGCTTTCGAAACTTACAAACACAATATTCAAAATATGAAAAGAATGTGAATTTGAATGAGAAAATCCAACGGAAAACTAGAAAACAATAAAATGTGCAGTAACACAAATGAATCGTGAATTGTGCTGATTCGATTTATTCAAATAAATGACCAACTGACCATAAAATCATTATTGTTAAAATTGAATAGTCAGAAGAACATGAAAATCTTGCAACATCATTTGCATTAAAAAATTTGGTGGATCATATTTTTCAATCTCAGCATTTCCTCTGATCGTATGAATGAATGAATGAATGGGATCATGCATAAAGTAGCATGAAATTCAAAAGAAATATCCTGGCAATTTTTTTTTCCGAGGTTGATTTCATTTATATTTCGTTCTGAATCCTCAATGATAAATTTATATTTTTATGGAACTGATAAAATAAAGCAACCGTCAAACAGTAAACGCGAGTTGTGATCAGTGGCTTCCGTCACTGATGCAAAAATGTAAAATTAAAAAAAAAAAAAATTTACCACCTTGTAAAAACCAATTATTAAATATCCAGTTGGGGTTAGGGTTGGAAATGATTTGAAAATTTGAATTTCGAGCGCAATCTGCATTCCTGATTGCATTCTGCAAACCCTAACTGGATAATTACTAATTTTACTATTTTGAACGTTGGCAGTGTTTTTTTTTTGCGAGCGCTTTGTACAAAAGATCCCTCGAGTTGTATTGGGACATATTGCTTGCAATTAATTATTGTTATTATATCCGAGTTGAGAGCGAGCTGTCTCTCTACAGACTGTTTTGTTTAAATTTGCATTTGGATTGTATGGTTTTACAAATGCTGTCCAAATGAGGCAGACGCAAAGAGTCAAAAAAGCACTTAAATGAGAAAAAACAGACATCTATACCTGGAATTTCACATCAACTTTACGACGTTTGTTGGAATATTCCTCTTTTTCATTCGTAAGGAAAATTATTGTACAATTGATTTTGTTAACTTCATTCATGACGAAGATTTGAAAGAAACATCAATTTTTTATCAACGACCGGAAAGTATTCCAGCATTGTAGGAAAATACGCTCCCATTGCTTATATCCTTTTTTTTTTATCAATGCCAATGCAACAAATAGGATTCCGCATTTGCATTCTATTTTTTTTTTCAAATAATACAAAGAGTTGACGGCAGTAAAGTGTTTTTTTGTCACCAAAAAGTATATAATAGGAGATAATGTTGAAAAACAAAGCACAACTGTTGGACGTGTCCAGAGAAACGAAGAACTGAGTTTGTGTGCTTTCCAAATGCCTTTGTAAATTCTGCAACATTCCATCATGTAAATTGAATATGAAATTATTCAAAGAGACGAAATTCAAGAATTTGGATACAAAAACTATTTAGAAACGTGTACAAAAATTTAGTTATATTTAACATAATAGGCATTTAATGAGAAATTTCGCTGCACACTTATATTTATAACTCTAAAAATATAACTCATCTAATAATGAGACTTCCGCAATTCTTCATCAAATATATCGAATAATCATTAATCTCTGAGTAGACAAACATTTCACAGTCAATGCTTGCAAGTAACTTTGTTTTTGGCCAAAAGTACACTAAAAAAACATTCAAAGTATATGTTTTCCATACAGTATTAATCTTAAACATGTTGAACTTCGCTACCAAAGGTGTTTTAATTTTGTTAGTAATTGGGATTTCGAAAACAAATGGCGCGTGCTGCGGTCGTGGCGATCATGGTATGTATATTTTTATATTTGAATATTTAAATTTTAATTCATCTAAATAAGAAACTAAAAATGCGTAGTTTTTTATTTAATATCTCACTGGTTTTCAACCTTTGAAGAACTAACTCAATTCAATATGTTTATGGGTTTATAACATTTCCACCACAAGTTTTTAGAAAAATGAATGTAAATTACATACAGTTCAGTTGTACACGCACAAAAATTTTATTTTCAGTAACTCATATTTTTTTTATGAATTCTATGCTTATTTCCGTACGAATTTTGTTTTTTCGGTGCATCTCAGGATTTTGTCAAGATTGTGCCAAGGTGAGCATTTGGGAAAGACAAAAATGTTGTGGCCTGACAAGTGGTAACAAAAGTGGAGGATGCAATATATTTTGTTGCAATTGTATATGTGCTCATGGACATCCTATTATCACCTGTAAGTCTACTTACTTGTTATTATTCGTAGAAAAGCAACGCGGTATTTTTCCTATTCGAGTGATAATATTAATTAGAAAAATCAAATGTTATTTAGTTTTGGTAACAAGTTGTTCAATCTGGGCATTGATTCCATAATTAACAATAGCTAACAACAATTCAATCTGTTGGAAAAATTTTCTGTTTCGACCGACTCCGTGTCTACAGTGAAAGTGTAGCTTTTGCCGTGTCGCGTCACCAGCATTCTCGGTTTCTTCTTCGGCAAATTTATGTGCTTATTGCTTACAAGCTTAAAATGAGAAAAATCATATAAAAATGAGTCTGTCTGAAGTTGGTCAGATTTTTTCTTTCAGCATGTGTTTATTGACTCTTTGCTCAGTTACTTTGGAGTTCATTATAACTGAGAAATTCGGCGGAAATGATGACATTAATGATATATATTACAAATTTTCTGAAACGATTTTTCAATTTTACTTAGACAAGAGATACTTGAAAGAGGGCGAAACAAGCCGCTACACTTGTAAGCAAGACGTTCATACCGTTCCTCACGGTGATGTTGACAGATACATCGACCACGATTCCAAGAAAAGCGCTTGGGAAGTTTTCAACAGCGTCGATCAAGACCAGGATCTCAAAATCAACCGCAATGAGTTTTTCGACGCTATGAAAGCTCGCTTGTCAGTGAGTAGAAATGAAGAAATATCGTTTACTAAATTTACTATATTTAATACTACTACATTAGCTAAAAAGAGACGCAAATATGTACAAATTTCGGCTATATTTTGCCATATTCTGGGGAATTGGGTGGAAAATAAGATAATTCAAAAAGACGAGTTATCAAGTGAAACGTGAAGAGTAAAGTATTGATAAAAGCATTCCCAAATCAACGATACTTTGCCAGAAATATTGCTATGCTTGTTATACATTTCAAACGATATCACCACTAATACCCAATAGTAAAACTTCAAAATGATTGAATAGGATCTGGCACTGACTCGATATAGAATTTAGGAATCACTTTTTTGGTCAGGTATAAAAATGGGAAAAACAACTCAATACAAAATGCTGAACTGACAAAATTCCCAAAAAATTCGCAAAATTCATAAAAGCTTGTATTCGTACGTAGTGCTAACTACGATATGACCCGGTAAACGGTAACATTGTGTACGGTACTCTTTGATTTGAATAAGAATTTCCATGTGTTCAATGTGTTTTTACTAACAGGATGACAATGATGATGCTGACCTATTCGCATCTCATCTGCTGGATACCGATTTCCTCGACACAATATCCGCCTATTTAGATGCTGATGATGAGGTGGTTCATGATACTGTGAAGGAACGTGCCATGCGTTCAATTTTCCAGGAGTTTGATAAAATGGATGTGGATGAAGACGGGTATATCCAGGCTGGTGAATTCGACAAAGATTTAAAATAAACCAAAAGTTATATCCTATTGCCAGAAATTTCATTTTAAATTGAACCAAATTTCATTTTAAATTGAATCATGAACAGAGAAAATTTCATTTCCATAATATAATATGATAGGTTACTTTTTGTACATATATATACCAATTAAAAAGAATCTTAGAATGATTGATAAAAATCTTTTCCGGCTTTAATTCTTGAGAAAATTGTTTTCGTAGCTTGAAACGATTTTAGACCCTCGTTTTCAGGCCGTAACCGCTAGATGTTATGATCTAACTTCAGATTTCTTCAAATTGCAGAACCCCTCCCTTTAAAAATTCATGGCTAACATTGGAAGTTAACGATAATTTTAGTGCTATTTCAATATTATTTTATATAATGATTATTTTGAGCTTGTCGGTGTGATTTAGAACCAGTCCAATCATTCAATGATAGTTGGTCACAGACCTTTCGATTATAGAAATTATAGAAAATCTTAAGATTTTTCTGACACCATGGCAGTAACCACTGTTAGGAAAGTGATATTTTTGACTTTCATTATAATATACCCGAAGTTGCATTCAAACATTGTATGGTTGTATTGTATTGTATTTATGATTGTTGTGGCAGAAAGATTTCAGTGATATCTGCATCGATTCATATTCACAATGAAAACCTTGTTTCGTTTACGTCCGGTAAATACCGCCTTCATCATCATCAAAGCACGCAATTCATATATGTACTGGAATGGTTTACAAAATTTCACTCCACTGGAAAAACTTTTTCTAAAATATATACCGAGCAAATTTGGTGATTCAATTGGAAATTTGAATTTGTGAAATATTTTGCGGAAATTTTCATTGGCAATAGACAAAAGCGGGAAGCAATTTGATGTTATACAAATACGCTTGGTAAAATATTTAAAAAAAAAAAATTTTCACGGAAAAATATTCCTTCGAGACCTGACGAAATTTTCTTTCTATGAGCCACATTTTGACGAATGTAAAGTGCAATACTGCCCTACGCAAATCATTTGAACTTATGATTTATCAATTTTGGATTAATAAGTCCTTGTCAAAGTCCTGCGCAACTTCATGAGAAAAGTATTGCTATCCTATTTAAAATTCGAAAGAATTTCAATTCTAACACAAAATATACAAAAATACGAATAATTTGGCAAAATGAATCTGATTTCGAAACTCACCCAGTATTCAAAACATAAAAATTTAAATGGGAAAATCTGACAAAAAACTAAAAAAAAAGGTGTAATACCGCAAATGAATAGTGAATGCATATTTGATTTATTCAAATAAATGACTAACTGATCAAAAATCATTAATGTTAAAACTGAATAGGCAGAAGAACAAGAAGAACATGCAAATCTTGCAACTTCATTTGCACTGGAAAATTTTGCGAATCATATTTTTCAATCTCAGCATTTCCTCTAATTGTGCAAACAATTGAAAGAAATCACGCATAATGTATCCTGAAATTTATAAAAAATATTCTGGAAATTTCATTTTCAAAATTGTTTGCATTTATCTTTTGTTTTGAATCCTCAATAATAGATTTATATTTTATGAAATTGGTATATAAAAGCAACATTCAAAGATTCCAGAAAAACACACTCACCCCTTTTTAAACGACAAATTAGTTATTATCCAGTTGGGGATAGGGTTAGGAATGACTTGGAAATTTGAATTTCCAGCGCTATATTATCTCAATCGTTGGTGGTGTTTTTATTTTCAAATAATACAAATTGTTAACGGTAGTGAAATTTATTTTTTCACCAAAAGGTATATAATAGAAGATAATGTTGAAAATGAACGCACAACTGTTGGCCGGACAGATAAACAAACTGCTAAATTTGTGCGATTTTTAAATGCCTTCGAAAATAATCAGAGAAAAATAGTGGATAGAAACCTAAATATTTAAGAACATTGTCTTGAATATTACAAATTTGATTTTTGTTTTATGTTCAGTAAATTCGGCAAAAATTAGAGGAGTTGGGTATAAAAAAATTGAGAAATATGTACACAAATTCAATTATATTTAACTTAATAGGCCATTTTATCAAAATATTCCATGCTAATTTTTATTCATAACTCTACAAAAGGAAGACAAACATTTTCCAAACAATGCTTGCTAGTAATTTTGTCTTTGGCCCAAAATACACCTGAAAATGACATTTAAAATATGTCTTTTATACAGCATTAATCTTAAACATGTTGAGCTCCGTTACCAAGGGTGTTTTAATCTTATTAGTAATTGGAATTTTGAAAACAAATGGCGATTGCTGCGGTCGTGGTAAACACGGTATGTATATTTTTATACTTGTGTATTTTAAATCTCAACTTATCTGAACAATAAATTTAAAATGCGCAATTTTTTCTGTAATATCTCACTGGTTCCCAACGTTTGAAAAACTAGTTCAATTCTCTGTTCTTATGGGCTTATACCATTTTCGCCACAAATTTTCAGAAAAATGATTGTGAATTACAGTTGTACACGCACAAAAATTTCATTTTCAGTGACCCATATTTATTTTTATGAATTGTATGTTTTACCGTCGACTTTGGTTTTTCGTTTATCTCAGGATTTTGTCAAAATTGTGCGAAGGTTAGCATTTGGCGAAGACAAAAATGTTGTGGCCTGACAAGTGGAAAGAAAGGTGGAGGATGCAATATATTTTGTTGCAATTGTATATGTGCTCATGGACATCCTATTATCACCTGTAAGTCTACTTACTTGTTATTATTCGTAGAAAAGCAACGAGGTATTTTTCCTGTTCGAGTGATAATATTGATTAAAAAAATCAAAATGTTATTTAGTTTTGGTAACAATCTGGGCATTGATTCCACAATTAACAATAGCTATCAAAAATTCAATCCGTTGGATAAATTTTCTGTTTCGACCGACTCCGTGTCTACAGTGAAAGTATGTAGCTTTTGCCGTGTCGCGTCACCAGCATTCTCGGTTTCTTCTTCGGCAAGTTTATGTGCTTACTGCTTACAAGCTTAAAATGAGAAAAATCATATAAAAATGAGTCTGTCTGAAGATGGTCAGATTTGTTCTTTCAGCATGTGTTTATCGACTCTTTGCTTAGTTACTTTGGAGTTCATTATAACTGAGAAATTCGGCGGAAATGATGACATTAATGATATATATTACAAATTTTTTGAAACGATTTTTCAATTTTACTTAGACAAGAGATACTTGAAAGAGGGCGAAAGAAGCCACTACACTTGTAAGCGAGACGTTCATACCGTTCCTCACGGTGATGTTGACAGATACATCGACCACGATTCCAAGAAAAGCGCTTGGGAAGTTTTCAACAGCGTCGATCAAGACCAGGATCTCAAAATCAACCGGAATGAGTTTTTCGACGCTATCAAAGCTCGCTTGTCAGTGAGTAGAAATGAAGAAATATACCTTACTAAATTTATTATATTTAATACTACTACATTAGATAAAAAAGAGACGCAAATATGTATAAATTTCTGCTATATTTTGCCATATTCCGGGGAATTGAGTGGAAAATAAGATAATTTAAGAAGACGAGTTATCAAGTGAAACGTGAAGAGTAAAGTATTGGTAAAAGCATTCTCAAATCAACGATATTTTGCCAGAAATATTGCTATGCTTGTTATATATTTCAAACGATATCACCACAAATACCCAATAGTAAAACATCAAAATGATTGAATAGGATCTGGCACTGACTCGATATAGAATTTAGGAATCACTTTTTTGGTCAGGTATAAAAATAGGAAAAACAACTCAATACAAAATGCTGAACTGACAAAATTCCCAAAAAATTCGCAAAATTCATAAAAGCTTGTATTCGTACGTAGTGCTAACTACGATATGACCCGGTAAGCGGTAACATTGTGTGCGGTACTCTTTGATTTGAATAAGAATTTCCATGTGTTCAATTTGTTTTTACTAACAGAATGACAACGATGATGCTGACTTATTCGCATCTCATCTGCTGGATACCGATTTCCCCGACACAATATCCGCCTATTTAGATGCTGATGATGAGGTGGTTCATGATACCGTGAAAGAACGTGCGATGCGTTCAATTTTCCAGGAGTTTGATAAAATGGATGTGGATGAAGACGGGTATATCCTGGCTTGCGAATTCGACAAAGATTTAAAATAAACCAAAAGTTATATCCTATTGCCAGAAATTTCATTTTAAATTGAACCAAATTTCATTTTAAATTGAATCATGAACAGAGAAAATTTCATTTCCATAATATAATATGATAGATTACTTTTTGTACATATATACACCAATTAAAAAGAATCTTAGAATGATTGATAAAAATCTTTTCCGGCCTTAATTCTTGATTGAAAATTTCGTAGCTTGAAACGATTTTAGACCCTCGTTTTCAGGCCGTAACCGCTAGATGTTATGATCTAACTTCAGATTTCTTCGAATATCAGAACCCCTCCCTTTAAAAACTCCTGGCTAACATTGGTAGTTAACGATAATTTTAGTGCTATTTCAATATTATTTTATATAATGATTATTTTGATCTTGTCGGTGTGATTTAGAACCATTTTTCTGTCCAATTATTGAATGACAGTGGGTCACAGACCTCCAGATTAGAGAGATTATAGAAAATCTTAAGATTTTTCTGACACTATGGCAGTAACCACTGTTAGGAAAGTGATATTTTTGACTTTTATTATAATATACTCAAATTTGCATTCAAACATTGTATGGTTGTATTGTATTGGAAATATGATTGTGGTGGCAGAAAGATTTCAGTGATATCTGCATCGATTCATATTCACAATGAAAACCTTGTTTCGTTTACGTCCGGTAAATACTGCCTTCATCATCATCAAAGCACGCGATTCATATATGTACTGAAATGATTTATAAAATTTCACTCCACTGGAAAACTTTTTCTAAAATATATACCGAGCAAATTTGGTGATTCAATTGGAAATTTGAATTTGTGAAATATTTTGCGGAAATTTTCATTGGCAATAGACAAAAGCGGGAAACAATTTCATGTTATACAAATCCGCTCGGTAAAATATTTTTAAAAAAAAAATTTTCACGGAAAAATATTCCTCCGAGACCTGACGAAATTTTCTTTCTATGAGCCACATTTTGACGAATGTAAAGTGAAATCTTGCCCTACGCAAATCATTTGAACTTATGATTTACCAATTTTGGATTAATAAGTCCTTGTCAAAGTCCTACGCAACTTCATGAGAAAAGTATTGCTATCCTATTTAAAAGTCGAAATTATTTCGATTCTAACACAAAAAATACAAAAATACGAATATTTTGGCAAAATGAATCTGATTTCGAAACTCACCCAGTATTCAAAACATAAAAATTTAAATGGGAAAATCTGACAGAAAACTAAAAAAAAGGTGTAATACCGCAAATGAATAGTGAATGCATATTTGATTTATTCAAATAAATGACTAACTGATCAAAAATCATTAATGCTAAAACTGAATAGGCAGAAGAA